CCTCTTCAAAATAATGAGAAATGCATGCTAAGTTTATTTCTTACTCTCACGGTTTTAAAATGTAAAATACCCTCATGAACAGGGAGAAAGTATTTCTTTCTACAAGATGTTTTAGATAACTTTACATGTTCTTTGTTTAGAATTGAACAACTTTTCTGACATGCCTTAGAACTTAAATTGTTACTGTTAGGTCGTCTGCAGCTTGATTAGTGCTAATTGGTTTTGTGATTGGCAGATATCTTAATAAAATATAATTACACATGTTAGAACACAAGTACAAGATAAGTATGCGGCTGGTTCTTATCTGCATTATTAGGTTTATTCTAGAATACCTTGAGCAAATCATGAAACGTTTATTGCTGTTAGTGACATTGTTCAAAAACCTGAAAGTGTTTAGAGGTAGGTTTGTTTTGCTTTTTAAAATTTTAAATGGAAAGCATTACATCTGAGATTTATGGGGTAAGAATGCATATTAACATAATAAGGTGTTAAGATTTGATATAGTTAGCCATGACCAAAACCCTTCTGACTTCTTGGTTATTGTATTGGTTATAGTATTTGGAAGTTGATTTGAGTGTGCCATGACACAAACATTTAATGTCTTCCTTGAATCTCTTTGGCTTACTTCTGTGTATGTGTGTGTTTAAAAGTGAAGCATAGAGTTAAATATTGAAAGATGATTTCTTGTTAACTATTATCTGGGGTGTAAGTATTTTTTTCTTCTCTAAATGTATGTAATGTAGTATGTATCTTCTTCTTGCAGTCAAAGCTGGAGGTATGAGAGTGCCCAAAAAGCAAGAAAACAGACCTGTTGAGAAAAATGCTAAACCTCCAGGAAAAGAAAAGACAAGGTATTACACTGCAGGGCTTGTTCCCCCTGCCCCATAGTTAAAGTTCATAGGTAACGGACTGAAGGTTGAAAAGAAAGACAACTCTTAATCTCTGAAGAGTTTAATTCTTAAATTAACTTGTGCAATTCATAGATAAAACACAACTTTGAGGTAATCATCATCTTAAAAACCAAAAACCCCACACAAACCAAAAAAAACCAACTTCAAAACCTAAGGGCAATGCCTTGTAATGAAAGACAAATGCTGAATCTCTTCTCTGTTGTCATGTGTTATGGAACAGAAATTAAAACAATGCGTTACCTACCTGTACCTAATAAAGTAATGGTCAAAAAGTTTCCAGTGAAATAGGAATGAATTCTAGGCTGTCCTCATTCTGAAGGAAAATAAACCCACATCTCCCACTCCCCACAAAGAGTTCAATATCTCCTATATAGGCCATATCTCCTATTTCAATCTGAAATCTAATTTGACTTTTTCTGTTTTCTACTTCATAAGGTTACTCAAGCTATTTTGCCCCAAAATGAAGTCATGCTTCTACTTTTGAATAAGGTAGCAGTGACTGGTTGAAGTGGTCATCAAAACAAATATTTCTTACAGCTTTTTCAAAGACTGAATGTTTTTCTAAAATATATGCACTTTTCTTAAATATCACTTCACAAAAAGTTAAATTGACCGATATAAGGATAAGAGGGTAAAAGTTTAATGACTTGTGATGTTCCTGAAATTGCATTAGAGTCCAAATTCTAAATGGAACACAGTGCCTACATAGGATTTAGACATTCAGGTTTTTGCTTCTATTGCAATTTTAAACTTTCTCAGTGGCCACCCAGTTTGGATGCTCCTTATCTCACCACATACCTTCTGTTTTTTGCACAAACAGTTCTCTTTAAGAGCCTGCAATTCTTTTGGGGTATATCTAGAACTGCATAGTTACTGCAGAGTACCTAGCACCCCTCATAATTGCTGTGACATTCAGAAACAAGTCAGTGTGACTCTAAGGTTTTGCTCAAAGGAGCCCAATCCAGTGATTTGCTCTTGGAACAAATCCGCTGTGTCCTGATAGCTATGACCTTGCTGTGCAAGGAAGTGGTGTACATGTCCTCCTCCATATGATGATTAGAATATTTCTGAAGAAATGGAAGACCTGAATTTTAGCCTGTTGTCAACTGAAAATGGTACTTATCTTGTTGTGTCACTGACCTTCACCAGTGAGCTAGATGCTTCCTGTTGAAGTTTCATAGAAAAAACAACTTGCAGAAAAAGACTTGCAATTTTTGGGGATAAGACAAAATGTAATAGTTAAAATACTGTGCTTGCGGAAGTGGATCTAAAATTCCACTCAGCAGTGTAAGTTGTGTGTGTTTAATACCTTTATCCCTTTTGTCAGAGTTCAAAATAACGTGTAAGTTGAGAGTGGAACTTGGATGTACTTCTCTAATGAGTGCTTCTGCACCTAGTATACACTTTTTTCCTAGCCCTCTAAAACATTAAATTTTTGCAGCTCGGTTACCCAGGTCCAAGAAGAGAGCACAGTCTCTTGGGAGACTCTTGCAGACTCTTGGGAGCAGGAGATAAGGGTTTTGTTCCCTTTAGAATGAGAACAGCCTGGAATTCATTCTTCCCTTGGAAACTGTTCAACTTTATTAGGTACTGGTAGGAAACACATCTGTGGTGTTGTTTTAAAAGTGGCTTCCTCATCTTGCTGTGAAAAAGCCCTTGTAAGCAAATATTTTTACCTGTAGGAGTGGGCTCAGATTTCTGTCCGGATGTAGATGCCTCTCCTGTAGTCTCAATTTAGGACTAGTTTTATGCATGAAAATAAACAAACAAAACAAGATTAAATATTCTGTTGTATCTCTTAAGAACAGAACTCCCTTCAAGCAGTCTTTCTGTTGTCCTCATGATAGCTTGTGCCGGGCTTGCTGAAGAAGCCTGTCCAAACTGGGAGCAGCTCTAGAATCATGTCTGTTTTAAAGCACATCTGGGAATTATCCTGAAGGCTGCAAATTACTTCTTACACCGCTGGGGATTTAGGGACATCAGTTACTTTTTACTTGTAAGAAAGGAGCAACCTATACAATGGAGTTTCTGTAGTACCCAGGTAACCATGTAAAAAGCCTGGATTAGGATAGGTAAGTGGTCCGGGTGACTTTCTTCTGATGCCTACTTTTTTTTCCCCACTGAGATTTAAGTTGCCTATATTACTTTTGATAAACAGATTTACCTCTGGTGTTTCTGAGTATCTTTAGCTGCTGTCGAGAAGGCTTCCTTTTTAGATGAATGTCTGTGTGTACATTGCAATCATAGTATCAGAGTGTCTGACAGTCACTACAAAGTACTGTAATGTAGTAATGTCATTGTGAAATAGATTATTTTGCCAGGAGTTAAAAGGGAAACTTGTGACTAGACTGACAGCTGAAGTTAGTTTTTTGGACCAAGATGTGATTTCCCCCTGCTCCAAATGTTGTAATGAGCTGGATAACTTTTAAATTAACTGGGTTTAGCCATATTTAACACTGACATATTGACACTATTTCTTGGCATGCTACAGAAATCACCACTAGATTTTTGTTTGTATGTTTTTCTCCTCACTGACTTGGAGGACACTGACCTAAAATACAATTTTTGGAACAAAGCTGAGCCAGTGACACCGACTTCTTCCTGTTTACTAGTTCTGTGCCAGAATCAATGGTTACTAGATATAGTATACATACCATGTTGGGATGATGGATTTCATTGTCAGATTGCAGTCACAGACGTCTCGGAGAACTTTGTGGAGTAGTTTAGTAGCTATCGCGTACAGACTCCTTGCCTCTAAGTTTCTGATTCAGATGAGATTATCCAAGAGGCTCGAAGTCACTGTCATAGCTTAAAGTGGCTACTCAGAGCTGAGATTGGTCTTGGCAGGAGCTGAGCTTTAAGATTCAGATCTCAAAAACAAAAAAAGCATGCTTGCTCTAAAGTGTAATATCTGGCATAATAGAATGGAATGCATCATGTTAATAACGAGGTGCCTGCCTGACAGTTTTCTGATAATACATTACGTTTGACTATACCTCATTATTTAAGAGAAATGATTCAGTTTGGTCTGTTCTTGGGGTTTTGTTGTTGTTTTTTAATAACTTGGCTTGGGTTTTTTTTTTCCCTTTGTGTTTTTTTTCTGGTGTTAGAAGGTTTTTATTTTCATTGATTACCAGTTGTCTGGGTGTAATTTTGCTGCTGTCTTTTTCTGTAGTCATAGTTACCTGATGGCATAAACAGATCTTGAACAACTTATATTTGCCAGTGTGATAAACTGTATCGATTGCTAAATTGACATTTCAGTAGGAAATGTCTGGCCTGATCCACAGAATGATTAACTTAACTAAAGCAGTATCTGCCTTTTCAAGAGTCACATTTAAGCTATTTGGTTCCATGTGAACAGGTAATAATGATTTTTCTCAACTCCATTTTAAGCTATAGAGGTGTCACCGCAAATAATAGTAGCATCAGAAGAATGTGCAATCCACAGTTCTTCCTGTTATTGAACTAAATTATTTCATATCCACAGACTGTTTATTTGTGGAATATTGGTAACATGGCTGTTCTTTGTCGAAATATGAAGAAGTTAATGGGATAATCTTTTGCATAATGTTCTTGCTTGACAAATTGCTGCTGTCAGAGGAAACACTCCCCAAAAGCAGAGGGTGAATTTTTTTTCATGGGTCTAGATTGGAATCAAGAAAATTACAAAGTCAAATTTTGTAGTTCTGGATATCAGTGCTCAGCTTCTGTGAAGCTGCTCCACAGTGTACAAAAAAAAAAATCCCTTTTGAGATGTTCAAGGATATTTTATAGATAGATTTTTGTATAAAACTGTAAATAAAATGGCCTGCAACACAGATTTTGCATTGTTTTATTCTGAGGCAGCATACATTTTTTTAATATCCTATAGTCTTTAATGTGATTAAAGGATTTAGCTCCAAAACCTAAATTTCTATTACAAAATGGAAAATGAAAGTGACAAGTGTTTCTGTGACATGGAAATGCTAAATACTTTTTTCTTTTGCTTTACAGTGCTATTGCAAGTTTTTCAGAAACTCAGAACATCGGTGTCTTGCTAGCAGAAGTGCTGAGCAAAGTAAGTACATCTGGAAGAATAAGATATGTGTTTGTCAGGGCTTCTCCATAAAGGTAAACTTAAAAAAAAAAAAAACAAAGAAGACACCCCAAAACCCCCCGAAAAGTGAATTTTCCTTAAACTGCTGTCATCTGGCATTTGTAGGTTTGTCATCTACCACTAATATCCTTGAGATGATCTATTTCTTCAGCAGTTGTGTGGCTACAATGCTAGATGGCTAAAAAGTAACTAGGCTTCCCTCCTTCTTCTGCTATGTTTGATTCCATTCCTGTTTAACACTAAGTAGCCCCAGGGTAATTATGTATACCTGTTACAGAAAAGTACAGCAAGATATTAAGGTGTGTCCTTTTCCTAAAGTGGTATTTTGGTTTAGATTTATTGAAATGTGGGGAAGAATTATCAGTGACGTAGTAAGTTTGTGACAGAGCTGAGATTACAACCCAGAACAAAACCTAGTCTTCGGTTCTTTATTCCACTGTGGAAAGAGCCATAACTTCTGTAAGGGTCCAGCTTCAAGAAGCTAAAAGATAGCTTCTTGAAGGAGATGGGTGGTGTCACTGACAAGTGCACAGTATATACCAAGATGATAAGCTAATGTCAAACTACTGTAAATGATTCCCCGAGACAACAAACTGGCAAAGCATATTCCAGTGTTGCCACATATGTAGCTATTTCACCTGACGCCTGACATTACATAGTCAAGCATCTTCTTGACTTCTCCCTTAGAGGTACTGTGAGATCATTTAAAATTTTGTGTCCCAAAGCTGTTAACACATCTTCTTGACTTCTCCCTTAGAGGTACTATGAGATCATTTAAAATTTTGTGTGCCAAAGCTGTTAACGGACCCTTCTATTCATCGTTATGCTTACAGCTACTATCCAGTATCTCTTACTAGGCTGTTGATGCAAACTCTTACACCTACACTTTGCAAAAGCTGATTTAAGAAGCAGCTTTTTTATTTGCATGCTAATCTAAAGATCTGACAGTTATCGTTTATTTTTCATACACTTGGCAGTCTTTAGATTCTGAAGCATACAAGAGTTCCTCATCCACAGAGCTTGGTAAAGCATGCATCATTTCAACATAAGCCTTTAATCAACAGAGGTGATTATAGCTTTAGTATGTAGATCTTGAATTTTTGCTTAGACCTGTTTGTTAAGGAGAACAGATAAAACTCACCCTGCTTCTCTTCCACTTGTCCCCATCTCCTCTGTTCTGACCTACCGTTTCCTTCTGGTTTCCAGAGTCTCATACATGAAGCTTCCTTGGTAGTTTAGAAAGTGATAATTAGATACTGTAATGATGATGATTTGAATCTGGGGAAATAAGAATTTGAAGGAACTTACTGTTAACTCTGGCATACTGATTATTTGCTCTGCTTTCCTTATCTTGACAGCTCATTCTGTGAACTACTAAAAAAAAAGGAGGAAAAAAAATCAATAGTTCACTGAAGGTAGTCAGGCTAATACCACTTTGAAAACAGGAATTATAATTAAATGTACGGAGTCACAATGAGTTTTATGTATTGATCATTTGAACTTTTTGTGGAGTTAGGTTTTACTACCATTTTTAAAATACTTTCATATGATGGAATTTAGGAAGAGAATAGCAGAAAAGCTGTGTTCTACCACAACTTTTTTCCTTCCCTTTAATGTTACAGATGAGCCACAAAATTCATGCAGCAGCATTACAAGTGGCTCACCAAAAGCCACAGCCTGCCTTGGAGAAGTTCATACTGCCTAAAAGAATTTACATTATTCAACAGCCACGGAAATGTTAAGATACTTATTAAAATACTCATGTTTACTTAAAAGTGAGTTTCTAATCTAAATAGCACTTAGCACACTCTGGTAAAATGATCAAAAGCTGTGTGCCTTGTATCTTACTGTGTTTCTGTTACTGACAATAAAATACTTTAAGAAGACTTACTACATGTACTCAGGATTTATTAAAATATCATGGCTTCTGTCTAACCTGGTTTTACTAGTGAACAGTAATTACTCAATGCCAAGAAGTCTGACAGCCTCACTTACTGTGTGAATTTTGACAGAAATACTGTAAACTGTCGGCCCTCTCTTCATTTTTTTTTTTTATTTAATGATAGCAAAGCTGAAGTGAACATGATCCTAAGAAAGCTTGTCACAACTGAAAGGCATAGGGTGTGGGGGTTTTGTTTTTGGTTTTTGTGGTTTATTTTTTTAATTTGGGCTGAGGTGTTCCATGCTGAATGTATGCCTTAGGCTTACTGCGTAATAAGAAACCTCAGAAAGTCCTGGGAAAGATATCCATGCAGTGGAAAAAAATTTTTTTTTTTCTTGCATTTCTTTCTGTAAGGAAATCCAGCTCCTCTGCAGAGATTGCTCTGCTGGGATCCAGAGAGTAGGAAGAACCAAGTGAAGATAGTGTTAGTGTGAACCCCTTTGGGGTTGGGGAGGAGGAGGGAAGGAAGTACCTGACCTGGAGTTGAACCTCTGGGAGGAGAGGGCAGATACAAGGCAGGGGTCCAGGTGCAGAGAATGCAGTGATTGGAATATGGAGTTTAAGGCTGGTAAAATGGGATATGAGGCTGAAAAGTGATGAGACTGAGCATGGGCTAGTAGTAGTAGGGTCTTGAGGGGTCAAGCTTAACGACGGGGAGGAGCAATTGTAAATGCAAGTACCGGAAGTATCCTTGAGCCTTGCCTGCTTATACTGTCAGCAAAAGGCAACAGAAATAGTCAGTCCTGCCCAGTCCAGAGGATAATACTCTCCGACTGCTGCTAGTTGGTTGGGTAGCTTCTTGCTCTGAATTTAATTCTGCTGGGACTGTTTTTTTAAGGTAGTGATTGCAGATGAATATGCCACTAAAACTGTAGTCAGGGAGTCCAAATAGACTTAACGTGAAAGGTGATGCTCAAAAAGGTTTATATTGTCAATGAGGCTTCTTTTCATAGCATGCTTTCCACATGCCTACGATGGAAATCTATTACAAACATACGAAACACACTCCCTCTTAAGTAGAGGGATCCCAGGTAGGTTACCCAGAATTAATGTTACCATTTAACATGAATGTCTGCTTCATTTCATCCATGCATAAAATGTAAATAACTTTATATGTTGATTAAAGATTAAATTACGGTTACAGGAGGTGGTGATTAGTAAGTGCAATAAATAATTTGGTTACACTTTGAATAAGTAGGAAAAATTTAAAATAGTGCTGCTGCTATGAAGAACACTGTTTTTTATTCCCGCGTTCCTTAACTGCTCGGTAGTTACTTGTAAAATATTGTCACTGTTATTCTGGACAACAGCTGCAATATACTTTATGGATATTTCAGTTGTAGGTACAGGATTTGGAAAACAGCTAGTTCTGCTTTTATATCATATATAGCACACTTTCCACTCCTCAGGCTGACTGTATATAAATGAATATCAATATGAATGTAAACGATGAAACATGAGTTAAAGCTGTCTGTCATGTGTCAAATGATTATTCATGCTATCAAGGCCAAAAATAGCATTGTGCACTCTAACATGCCAGTGGCTAATACATGGTCCTTACGGAAAGAACATTAGTAAAATCTTTATAACCCTAATCTTTATCATTTTTGTTTCTGAAGAAAATCCATGGCTAGTGAAAAATTACAGGATCTGATTCTGAGAGCCTTTATGAACATTACTTTCTATGAAGTAATCTGCTTTTGAAAATTTATTTATATTCTGGCCAAGGATTTAATGCAAAATGAGATCTTGTAGGAAAAGGATTGTCTTTTCCAGAGTTATACCCAGCCTTCCCTTGGATGCTAGATTAACTACATACCTGATTGCTCTGGCCAGTTTGTGCTTAACGTACACCTGAGTGGAGAAACCATTTGAACACCCTTTCCTGGTGCCTGGAAGGGATGGGACGTATCCTGGCGCACTATAGAAATGGGTAGCTGGTAAGCAGCACCCTATTGTGAGGAGTTACTCAAATACTGTGGGAATGGAGGTATCTGGGATCCATATTTCTGTCCTACATCCCTAGAGTGGTTGGAAACGTCGCTATCCTAGCTGTGTGCAAATCGCTCGGTGGGAATTCAACCTGTTCTTGCAGTGCTTCATCATTGCAGTTGTGTAACTACCCATGTTGTGTTGTAACATTAACATCACTGCAAGTGGCAGTGAATAAACCAAAGGATTTGACTGCCCTTCTATTAGTTTCTTATTTGATTTTGCAGGGTTTTTTTTAATTAATGAATGTTATTTAAACTGTTTAAAGTGTATGTTCAGGGTGGGGATGGCGTGCTCAATGTAGAAAGTGGCTATAGGAAATTACTTCTGTGACACAAACCAGGTCATTGCTTATGGATGTAATAGTTTTGTTTAAAAGGTCCTATATACTGCTGTGCAGTGCACATTGAGCAAGTTCGATACTACACAGATGAGTTAAGTAGATACAGTTACTCATGTTCTGCAAGTATGGTGTCTCCTGTATCAGCAAGTGGGAGTTAAGCAGCATAGGCTCAGCATATGCTTCTACGAGGCTTCTAAGAAGCATCAGTCGTCCTCGAAGAACGAATCCAGGCACGTATTGCAGCAGTGCCTGCCATCTGTGTGTGTACAGAACTTACCTGGAGTGACAGTATGGTAGCTCCAAACCGCCTAGCAGAAAGCCTGCTTTAATGTAAGGTATGTTCCACGTTCTCTCTGTGTGAAATTTTCAGGTGTGAAAACAGGACCTAACAAGAAGTCAGGAGGTCTAACTTTGATAAACTTGGTTTAATGGTTTTACTAAGTGTAAAGCAGGTCCTATACCACATATCTTACGGAGCAAGAAATCCTGGCAATGGATCCGTTTCATTCCCTGCTGCTGTCGCATGTTATCCCCTGTGGTGGTACATAGTTGCTTTTTGTGCCAATAGCACTTACTAGGCTTAGGAGGGAATCCAAAAGATTTTTATAGGGAACGAACTAAACTCTTCTGCTTGAAAACATTCTGTACTTAAGAGCACTCCCGTTTCAACAAACTCGGTCTTACCTGTAGTATTTTGACAGGTAGACTGTCAGGTGCATTATTTTCTCTAATTTATTTCCATTTATTAAAGTGTCCTGCTTATAATAGTGTTCTTAATAACAACAGCTAAACCGGAAACTAAAACCGTATTTTGAACTTCTAAATAATAAACAACTTAGATTTTCATCCTGTTTGTGCCTTCCATTCTGTGTGTCGTTTTAGTTTGTGTTTGCACCATCATTGATGATACTACGATGAATCGGTTGTGCGTTCTGTTTTAGGAAGTTTGTTTTATTCAGTTCAAGTCTTAATTTAGTACTTTGCTGTCATTATTTAAATGTGAACTACAGCTATATTCAGAACTTAAGGAACAAATACCATTGGTTTGCTAGAAAAATCAAAACCTTGCAGGAAGCCTATTTTCAGGCTTCTCGAGTGTTACTACAAATGATGCAGGCATTCAACAAGAATGGCGTGGTTTCAGGAAATTATTTCTTCTGTCAATCTTTATTCCATCATTTAATGCCACAGTGTTGGTTAATATGCAGTTGTTTTATCTGTAGACCTCAAAACGCCGTGCAGAGATGGGAATGGCTGAAGCCAAGTGGCAGTGCAGGTTGTGAATGTGAAAACAGATTTCAGTAAATGTTGATTGGTTCAACATATTGGTAAACTTGATAGTGTCACACATTCTGTTTGACGGCCTAAGACATACATGTTTTGCTGGACTTCTCTGCAGGGATACCCTCTTGGGCAAAGAATAGTCTCTACCTTTAAGCACTTGACACTCCCAGGTTGGGTGGTGTCCGACAGAGCTATCTGGGAATTCGGCAGCGTGCCACTTTTAACTGGTCTGGAATGAACTATAGCATATGCTGAGGTCTGAATTGAGAGTATGTGATTTCTGACTCTTGCGTCAAACTGCAGGAGATGAAATGGCAAAGAAATTACGCCTGGTAAATCTGGGAATTTACAATAAGGGAACTATAACAAAAGACTTAATTTTCATAAGTACTAACTGTTGTTTAAAGCCTCTCTCCCTTCCAAGGTGTACTTGTTCAGCCTGTTCCTCTCTAAGTAGTATGCATAGATTTGCAAATCGTTTCAAGCACAGTAACCTCTCCCTGGTGTACAAAAGCCAGTTGTTCTGGTAACTGGTACACGCATAAGCCCAAGTATTTACTGAGCACATCTTTAGTTTCAGTGGTAGAGGAGTGTATTTCTAGAATGTAAAAAAAATTCCTTGGTCTAATCAGCGTCCTCTGTGATACTCATCTTGCAATTGTTCCTGTTGTGCTTCACTCCCGTAACAGGTTCACAGCAAAGCACCTCTTGGTTTTGATAACCTGGCTATCCTTGAGGACCATTGTTTCAGCGTGCTGCCGTTCCTCCTGCTCCCTTCCTGCATCTTCTAGACTAACCTCTCCTACTTAGCGTGAGCAGGACAGATATTTGCAGCTGGTCTGTTTAGCTGGAGGAATGTGCACTCCATGCTTTTGGACCGCTTGTGAGTGAAATCTTTTTAAAGAGGGTAGGTGTCATGGGATTCTTTGCAGGCACCAGAGTTCCATTTGCTTTGCCTTCCAGGCCTATAGCGTTGCCTGACTGTTTCTTGTCCTCCCTGCTGTCAGCTGAAGGGCTGCCGCTATGCCAGCATTCTGCAGAATACGTTACTGAACCAGGCATGTACTCTGTTTTCAGTCTTGCTCAGCTACTGTAAACTCTAAAGGCACTTTGACTTCCCTAGTGAAACCAGTCATAGTTTTCCCTTTATTCAGCAAAACCATGCAGAGAACAATGATTCA